TAAAATAAAAAGTTTGATATATAGAGACTATTTCCGATTAATTTTAATAATTCTTAAGTGGTCCTTCATTTATTGGGAGGCACTGTATATATATAAATTTTATCATTAAAAAACATCGGTTTTTCAAATATATACAGTATTTATTGAATTGACAAAAAAATTAATAAAAATAATTTAATTGATTTTAATTATAAATAAAAAAATTATATACTTTATACAATCTATAATAAGTTTAAAAAATCATTATATTTGTAGATTGAAATATATCAACATTTAATTGTTGTATATAAATAATCAATTTTTATTTAATAAAATATCAATGAAATAAAAATATTTGATATTATATAATTCTATATTATATCACGTAGAAATGGTTGAAATTTATAAATTTAATTTTATTATTACGTAGTCTTTTAATAAAAATACAATATAAAATACTTTTGGTTTCCATGAAATCCGAAAAAATATATATATATTCTTTTCGAGCATTTCATAAAAATTTAAGAAAAGAGAAGAAAAGGATGCAATGCAAGAAATTTGTGATGAAAAAAATAAAGTTAGATATTTACAAAAAGTGGATTTTGTTTTTAGGTTGTAATAAAAGTGGCAAATTTACAGAACCATAAAATCATGTTTTCTAAATTTAAATTAAAACCCTTAACCGAATAGTCCGTTTTTTTTCTTGTATATCAAAAGTTATGCAAATAAAGGGAACTTAACATACACCTCCGACTTGGATCAAGCCATCTGAAGACCAAACCACCACACCTTCCCTTAATTCTTTCTTCCACACAACACCTTTATATTGGAATGTCCAAAAGCTCCACCAACAAATCATGAAGATACCCGAGGCAAAACTGACCAGAAGGATATTAAATAGTCCAGGAAGCCTTGTGCTGTCTGTATGATAGATGACATTATTTTCAACAGGATTGACGTGAGCGAATACGTGACACCAGAATTTCACTGCTTCCCAGAAGAGTATCCAACCAGCCCCCGCACCGGCGATGCACCAGGTTCGATAATACTTTAAAGAGTTTGTTGTTTCCAATACGACAAGATGCTCCCAAGTTAACAAGCCCCAGTGATTTCGGCGAATTGCCAATAGAAGAAAGAAAGAAAGTATCGGTAAAGCAGAGGTCCACTTTCCATGCATCAGAGGAGTCGCGTCCATTGGTTTAATCAGGGCTTCAACGTTTGGTAACACTATTGATTCATTCCCATTTACATAATAGTACCCTTTCGGTAATAAAGGGTCGGACCGATTTTCTGAATTTATAAGCCACAGACACATCGCCCATCCTGACCAAATAACCCATGTTCCATATAACACGAAGACCTTCTCTACTTGGCATTTCTTGAACAAATTTGCCAATAAGGTGGCTATGTGAAAACAAGTAGTAGTAATGTACACCAGCTGGGTGAACGATGTAATATGAGTTGACGTGAATGGCATAGGGTATAAAGTATAGAGGTGCTGAAATATTATGGTGAGGTGCACAAAAAGTGTGAATGGAGTGTAACCGATATTACTAAGAAATAAGAAGAATTGATGAATTAGCGTCAATAATTTTATTATCGCCTCATAAAAAAGGGAAGGTTTTACTAATAATCCCAGCACAGAAAACTCACATCTTCTGATCGTACTTCATTAGTGGTACGTCCTTCCCATCAGTCTCCATTCTTTTACGTTTCTCCTGTTGGTTGTTAGTACTTTCTTTCTCGAAGTTCCGTTCCTTACTTTCGTAATTATCTCCACCGCAGAAATTTCCAAATGCAGAAAATGTAGAAGTTCGGTATTTTGATTGTGTTTGTGATGATTTATTATCAAATTGTCCCGGAAAATAACTTTTTTTGCAACACTTTATGTATTCGGCATTCTTAGTATTACTGTTCGACTTTTCAATTGGACTCGGTTGCTCTTTTGTTGTCGCAGCCATTAGTGAGAGAAGTCGTCATAAGAAAAATCATCAGACGACAGAAATGAAAATGTTTCGAAATAAAACTCGTCTATAAAACGATGAGAAACTTCGAATACAAAAAAAACAAAGGAGATGGTTTAAAGTGAAGGTAAAGGATTTCTTTATCGCACGTGCAAACACTTTCGGAACCCCTGTTCCGAGGAGGGGAATATATAATCCTTAACAAGAGGAGCTTTGACTAAGGGGGTGGTAATGGTGTAATAGTAGTAGCAGTAGTATGAGAAGATGAACATTCAAAGAGTCCGTTGACTCAATAAGAAAAGAGTTTGAGAAGGGAAGAGAACAAGGTATATAAATGAGTAAACCACAAAAAAAAAATCAGGGAGGCTTTTGTACATAGTTGCACTAAATAACGTAAATATAACTAGAAATGTATGTAGATGAAAATCCTGTTGGTACATCTTCATTCTCATCAACCTTTTTCACATGTCATTTCAGGAAGTGTCACTTTACAATATCACCATATAACATCATGCGCATATAAATCCCTTTTAGCAAACCACTGTCTTTTTAAAATTAAATGTGCATACGCACATCATAGTCGGGAAAACCGCTTCCTGAATATTACACCAATTATTATTCCTGTGTTGGTACACCATTTGCTAAGGTGATCTCTTCCTAAGCAAATGTAAATGCATGTGTCGAGAGTGTAAAAGCACGCTGATATTCGTTAATTCGGATAAAGATCAAGTTTCAAGGAATAGGACATCAACAATATAATTCGCGACTCTAGAACGATTTCCCTATTCGGAAGATTCTTGTGCACATGTGTTTAATTTTCACGATGTTTGAATGTGATATGATAATGAAATGTGGTAATTCAATCGTCGGTTAATCATCAGTTGATCATTCAAATGAATCATAATCGTCAAGACCATCATCATCTTAAATTTTGTTAATCTCTAAAAATATATGCTTCTTGGAAAAAAAAAATGATTGTTGAAAAGACCCTTTCAACAAATTGTTTAAACTTAGCTCCTTTATAAGCATCACAATGAAGTAAAAAAAAAAAAATTTTTTTTCCGAACAATCTGAACGACTGTGACTCTGTAAAAGGGTCCGTTTAAGGTTCGTCAACAAAGAAGTATTTTTTTTTTTTAGAATCCTTAATACTTTCGCATTCAATTTTCGACGCAGGTTTACAATCAGGTTGTAAATAACAACTGAATGAAAAGAACACGACGAACGCTTTTTTTTTTTTTGATCAATGTCGTACGTGCCTCCTTTGACCATATGATTCATCAAAACCCGCATCCAAAGAGTTGTGGCAATAGCAGCATTCGTTGTGGCGTTCAGCATTCATTGTGGCGTATTAGACGGTCACGATAATCACGGTGTTGCGCATCAAAAAAATTTTTTTTGTAAAAAACTAGAAAACTAACTGGTAACGTAACGCAACACGCACATCTCAACCGATCGAAAATATGAATGGTCAGTGCCCGAGTCAGTTGTAATATGAAAATATCACACTGTTATATCGCACCAACAACGTCTTAAAGTTTTTTCCATGCAAACACGTTATATATACGCTGCATCAAGATAATTTTATTATTCCCGCTCTTCCACACTAGGTGTAGCACACTGGGCAACAAAGGCATTTATTTGTGCGTCAATTGAACTAAGCTTTCGTAATCCATAACGCTAAAAAGTCGATGTAATAATCACAATGAGGATTCAAAGAAATTAAGAAAAAATAAGCTTACCCTTGATTTAGGTCGGCAAGTTGTACCAACCCCTTTGAAAATTTCTCTTGCATGCATAATGGTGCGTACGTACGTTCCTCATTAAACAATTTGATTCCAATCAATAATAGTAACACGGGTGATAAGCACACCTGAGACATGTGCAGAAAACCCATCGTACAACACCTGCTTTATAAGATAAGTGTGTGGTGGAACGGAACATACAAAAAAAAAGAAATTAAACTTGATGAAATAATTCTACAAAATGGAAATTTCCGAGAAAAATTTTTTGTGCTGATTTGTGATCCGTTTGGAAGATTTATATATTAAAGAAAAAAATTTTAAGGGGTGAATAATGCAAGGAATTCGGATTATTGTGCGTTAGTGGCGCCAATAAATTCGTAAAAAATCTTGTCATTCACTGAACGAAGAGCTCTTTGCTTATCTTACAAGTTTCAATTCCTGATTTCCCTCTTATTACTTTCATGTGAAATTTTCTAGGCTAACCAAGTGTGGCATTTTTTTTCCCATTCGCTATCCGTTGATTTCTTGACTGATAGGTGGTCAAGGTGTTTTGTGTATCTATCAAAGACTTGTGGTATGTGCACACTCCCACAGAAAACCACGAGGCAAAGATAACATCCCATATAAAAAGAGATCTTAGAATTGTCCTTTTTTAATTTCCCAATTTTGGATGTACAATAAATAAAGTACAATCGGAGTGGAAGACTTTACTAGAACCTGTCATTTATTCATTACCATCCTTGTAAAACGGCAGTTATTTTTTTTATGCAATACATAATTTCCAATTGGAATATTTAATTGCCGAGGCACATGAATGAATATTCCAAAACGGTTAATCAAGAAAAACCTGAAAGACATCTCTACTTTACTCTTTTGCTTTGTAATAGTAATCTTCATATTGCGTCTTTCAAAGAATTTCTTTTACTGTTGACTTTACATGTGCAAATCAGAAATCGTAATTACTAAACCTTTTTGTAACACTAGACTTTACAATAAATTGTTATAATAGCAGTACAAGAATTTGTAATAAAATTATAATTAATGGATATGTTTAAATATAAATGTTGTATGGTTTATAACATTTATAGTCATCAAATAAATTTATATAATTTTAAAACTTATCTAATTATTTAATTTAAATAAT